TTTCCTCCTTTCTTATCAACAAGTGGATTTACAGACACCACTTCAGCAGCGCCGCTGGTCGCCATGTCTCAGCGCTTTCATGAAGAGGACGCCACTTCACGCCCTTCGTGCATGCATGCGCGTCCAGAACCGGGTTTGACCGGGTACTCGGTACCACCGGTACTTGGTACCGTGACGTTTACTTTTTTTAGTACCGACTTGGTACCGAAGTACCGAATATTTTGACAACACTAGTCCCTAGTACTGTATCTGAAATCCTTTTCCCAAAATTCAGCCTTGGTACAGAATTATAGCCACTAAAGCCAGTCCCACAATGAGCTTTCCTTCAGACGTGCCATTTCGGAGTCTGTAGCTTTAAATGCTAATGAGGAGGAGAAAGGGGCAAGGTGTAGGGCGGGTGTTGCCTTGACCATCTTGCGGCAACGGTACCATGCATGTTTACATTGGATATATTGCAATGGCACGCAGACACACAGTCGTTCAAGCATTTCAGTTTGACCCAGAATCTGATCCGGATGGAGAAGCAACGGATGAAGAAGTTGCAACTCAGCAGCTCCGGTACTTTATTCAGATGGTTTACGTATGCTGTTAGTTATTATCATGTAGCTAACACTAGTCTACTGCGGCCTTTTCATGTTGCTCTGATTTGCTATCGTTTTAAAGCTGTATTAGCTCTGCGATCTTGAAATGCGGATATCGCGCGCGCCATATCACCGACAGGAGAACAGTTATCCAAATAACAAAGAAGTGAACAACACTCGCGTTACAGTGTGTGCATTCACACACATACTTGATGCTATCTACCTTTACATTAGTGACAGTAACCCGACTGTTAGCTGCATAGCTAATGTTACAGCCACATTGTGTAATGTAATGTTACAGCCACTACGTGTAACAAGCTAGGTAACCATAAACAGTAAAGCAACACAATTATATATCATTAGTTGACTTACTTGTCCGAGGTTTGTAGCTGAGTCAAAGACAGTTGGTACTGATCCAGACTTTATTTTCAGACGTTCAGCAAGCCCAGCTCTGTATTGACCCAAGTTGAGGAAACAGTCGTAGGTGAAATGTTTGGCGCAGACATACAAAACTTTGGGAAGTTGAGTCGGCGCATTTCCAGAGAAAATGAAATTAATCCACTGGTTCCTCTGGGGCTTGGATGAAGGAACTAAAAAAATACTCCTGTGTTCATTTGTACATTCTATTATTGAGCAACGGCCGTGCTTTGCTCGTTCACACTCCATGATGTCTCTCGAGGAAAAACTCAAATCGCGCTCGCGCGTTCGTACTTCCTAGCTAATTTTCTCATGGGCGGGTCAAATTCTCTGGGCGGGAAAAGCATAGAAAGGGGAGGTAACCTTTCCCTGTATGACGTCATACGAGGAAGATTCAAGGTCAGCCCGTCTGAGCTTTCATTTTCTCAAAGGTGGAGAAAGATAGCCAAAGCTCGGTTTACACCGATTGAAATTTCTAGACACTGGGGGACCATACACAGGCTAGGGGGACTCATATTAATGTTTAAAACCTCAGAAAGTGAAAATTTCATGTCATGGGACCTTTAACATAGACATTAAATGTATCAAAGAAGTTATGGAACATACTAACATTATGTTACATAACATATTATTAAAATACATAATAACATTATGTATTTTTGTTATTATTGTAAGCTATAGCATTTTTGTGTATTTGTATTATACTAAATGCCTTTAGGCTACTGTTTTTCATAACAAATACCATAGAAATAATATAGCTACTTTTTACCATGGTAGTAAGATGCAATGCATAGATTTTGCTGTGGCTGACATCATCCAAATACTATGGAAGACCACATTTTACCCTATAAAAATGTTAAAATTTGTACAGATGTTTAGTGTCACTAAACTCAAGCTACTGTCAAATGTGCATTTCTAAGCAACAAACACATGTTATATTCATTTGTGAAATGGTCACCTGCTTGGCAAGTGTTTTTCATGTTCTGATGATAAAACCACAATTAATTGTCTGGTTTTTCTACAACTTTCAATTTGACTTTAAACTTGAAAAAATATAATTGACTGATATGAAAAAAAATTTCATGATAATTTTTTGGCCATATTGCCCAGCCCTAGTTTAAGTGGACTAAATGACTGGAGAAATCCGGCATACGTCTGAGGTTTTACTGGAAGGTCTAGATGTATTTAAATAAAACAATTACAAGATTAAATGTTTGTTCAAAAAATGAAATTTGCATGGATGAGTTGTTTATAATAATATCAAAAGCATGCATTAGATAGGGTGTATTTTTATTTCATGCTGACTTTAAAGTTTCTGGTTTAAAACCAGAAGAGACCAGTGTAGAGCTCTAAACCATATTTTCTTCAATGTATGAAACACTACAAGGTTGGCTACCATCTCTAGCACAGGTCCTTTGGTAGTATATGAAATCTAGTTTAGAGTTTTGATTCTTGACTTCTGCAGGCGTTTATAGTTGACAAGTATTGAAAGTAAAAAGGTTAAATGAAACCCAGTGTTCATTAAGGAACACTCAGATACTCAGCTCTCATTGTTATGAGTGTATCCTGTAATGTGTGTTTGAAACAAAGGTATGTGTGTGTTTGCGTGAACGAGGGAGTGAGAGTCGGCTGAGACGACTACAGTCGGCCTGGCTTTCCTTCCTTTCCCGTTACCACGGTGAGCAAACCATCCATTGTTCTTAGGAATGGAATCCTAACAGTGTGTTAACAAGGAAGAGAGAGAGAGAAGGGATGTCGGAAATCACATAAGTCTAGATAAATATATTGTTGGCGATTGTTCGTATCTGAAAACTTTGCTTTTAATTGATTATTTGATCACATGGAACATTGTTTAATGACAACACCTGATAAGAAGTTTTTTAACCACTGATAGAAGTGTTATCAGTCTATGAATGTCATATCAGTTATTATGAATAGAAACTGAGGATGCGAAATGTCTGTGAAATGATGTTGATGGAAGGTGAGGTGAAATAATGAGGCAGATCCAGACAGATTACAGAGAAATAGACTGAATGACCATTGACAGAAGGACAAGACTAGATTAGCGGAGGGGAGAGAGGTAGAGAGAGCATTACATAATATTATCCATCTCAGTGCAGTCATATCTCTTATAATCAGCAGACGTCATTCAACTATAAACCTGCTGACAGACCAACACAAGCACTGAGCGTTCTACCGTTCTAACCTCCTATGTGTCTCTATGTGCTTTTTAAGCATTTGGCATGTAGCTTGTGCCCATGTGTTTATGTTTAGAAGGTGTTTACAGGCTTAATGACTGACTCCTTTGCACAAATATGGATTAAATATTAAGACAAGATTTTACAAGGTTGGATATTTGTAGGTTGCATACCTGTGTGTAGATTGTAAGCAAGTCACTAGTTAAATTGTTTTATTTAGTTCAGGTCATTTGAATTTATTATTTGTATAGCACTTTCTTTTATATAATACAAATGGTTCCAAAGCAGCATTACAGAAAATTACAGACACATTTTCATTGTTTTGGTTCAATATTCCATTCTGTGTGTTTTATTTTGAGTCTGTTTCCTTTTATTAGTTTGAACATAGTGTGTGTCTACTCCACACTATCATTGGCTATGAAATGAGGGATTAAGGTGTTCTAATCCAAGTTATAAATAGTGAGCGACTGGAATCGAGATTACTGCTTTGTTTGTGTGTCTGAGACATTCTTAATGGTAGACTATTGAGATTCAATCTGGATTCCTCCACATATTTTTTTACCGTTTCCACCTGGTATTTAGACTGTTAGGATTTCATTGAGACCCTTCCCTCCCACTTTAGTGCTGATCACTTTATATACGTATCACAAATAACACATCTTAAAGGTAGGGTAGGCAATTTCAGAGAAGCAATAGCAAGCTAGCTTTGAAGGTATTAGATCCCACCCATTTTTTTCCAATCGACACACCTCTTCCAATGTCGCAACACGTGTATCACGTGTAGAATTCTGCGTTGCCTACTTTTAAATACGACTTCGCTTGGCCATTCATGTGCCTGGAACTCGTAATTACAATATCTCTGACTCCACTTGAAGGACATATCAAAATACAACATTGTAGCACCCTCAGTCTTCACTTTCATACAGCATAAATACATCTCCCTTCCCAACATACTATTGTTATTCAGAAACAACTGAAACAACTGAAAAAAAAAAAAATCAAAAAGAACAGCATACAGAACTGGTCAGCATATACAAACATAGCTGACCCCAACACACACCACAGTCAGCAGGGTTGTGAGGCCGCTGGCAATATTGCTGTTAATAATAATCGAATTTGCAGGCTTGTACAAACATCAGCAAGTGAAACAATTTACCTTAATGTGCCAAATATTCTCAACTGCTTAATGCTGCACACATAATACAGTGCAAGTTGAATAGCGCTGTGCAGACAAAATCATATATATCGTAATTCTTTTTCTCACAATATTGCATCAAAAAATAAACATCATGGGGACAGTTTTGGTACTGTAGTGGCCAAAATTCCTTACTTGATGTCCAACTTAAAATCTGGCTTCTGGAGCAAAACCACTGCTTTAGACTGTCTTATGGGACTTACTTTGGGACCCACCTATCTCTCTTTAGTTCCTCTTTGTCTCTCCTGCGATTAATGGCAGTAGCACTCAGTCAGAGGTGAACAATGTGTGCTTATTTGTCGTTAAGGAAACAACACAGCAAGAATCTGAAAGCTAACCTCAACTCACACCAATCACCGTTAATCAGCTCTCATCATTTCACACTATCCCCTGCTCACCCCACAGTAAACTACATTACCCCAAACAACTAAGCATTATCCCAGCTCACCTCCCATCACCCCCTCATTACAATCATTGTAGCACTATACTGTATGACACTCCTGTGACATAACCAGAATCTGAGTTATTCAAGAGTGGGGTGAGCCAATAAGATGCTGACATTTAATAGAGATCTTCAGACTTTTACCTTTTTATATTTTGGTTCTCAAGGTGTTGCTCTTACGTCGGTCGCCGTGGCAATGGTCCCCAGGCAATTTCCATTGGGAAGAACTGCGACAAGTTTGGCATTGTCGTTCACGAACTTGGGCACGTAATTGGCTTTTGGCACGAGCACACACGACCTGACCGTGATGATCATGTGACCATCATCCGTGACAACATCCAGCCAGGTACTGCATGACCCATGACTCAAGTCTTTGCATCCTACCAGGTAACTGCTAGATCAATATGGCTGCATTTCACAGTGGCAGGGAATTTCACAAAAACAATTAGAAATTAGAAATTAGAAAATCAAAGATGTTTTTAATATGCTCTCATAATTTTGTGTCCATCCATTACCAAAATCGTCATGCTTCAAACCGTTGATAAAGACATTGTAAAAGTAATTTATGAATCCATGTCTTCTGAAGAGACAAGATCGCTTTATATGATTTAATTAAGCAAATTTAATTAAGTCTTTAATTCACACATAAACATTGATCAATGGAAATACATTAAACTCATCAACTATAGTAAACACGGAAGCTCAACTGTGGTTGACGCTTGAGAACAAACATCAGTGGTTCTCACACGTCAAGCAAGCACAAACTATCCATTTAAATTAAGATTTGATGAATGAATTTGCATGTTGGACTTGCATTTAAATAACATTGTGTCAGTTACTGTATGTTAAGAATTTAAATACCATCTTTGGTATTTATTTTAGTCACTCTCGGTGGTCACAGGCATTATTCACGGCTATCACAAGAATAGAAATGGGGCTTGGCTTCAATTATTTGTTCATACAGACAGTATTTGAGCTGTTGTTGTATGAACAGAACAATTCAAGAGTTCAACTGTTAGGATATCGAGCCTAAACACACTGTTTGAGCCTGTGAGCCTAAACATCTGTTTTAATGAGTCTTTCTGTGTGCACTCAGGTCAGGAGTATAACTTCATTAAGATGGAACCCGGGGATGTCAACTCTCTTGGTGAGCCATATGATTTTGACAGCATCATGCATTATGCCAGAAACACTTTCTCCAGGTGAGACTTCTGTCACACACAAGAAATTTCACACTCAGTAATTTAATAAACAGCTTTCCAAGCATTCATCTTTTGTCTTTCTCTTCCGTAGAGGAATGTTTTTGGACACAATTCTTCCCTCTCGTGATGAGAACGGCGTCAGGCCTGCTATCGGTCAAAGAACTAGACTCAGCAAAGGAGATATATCGCAAGCTAAGAAGTTATACAGATGCCCAGGTAGGCCTACAGTGTGTGAGTGTATATGTGAGAGAGAAAGTCCTTTAAAAAATGTAAATGAAGGAATATCAAGGGTGTTAACTGCAGAAAGATGACCTCACTTTATGAGCAGAGCGGTTTCTCCAGCTAAATATGTGTGTGTTAGCTTGCATGTGATCATTTATTTTGTCAGTTTTATGATGCACATGTGTCTCATTGGCAGTGTTGGGAGTAACGAGCTACAAAGTAACGTGTTACTGTAATTCCACTACTTTAGCGGTAACGAGCATCATGTAACTAAATATTTTTTTAATCAAGTAACGCAATTACAATAACTGAAATTTAAATGAGTTAATTACTCGCGTTACTCTCTTTTGTGAAAAATGAACGCTTGCAGACAAGAAGACAGATAGGCCTACTTAAGATGCTTCTGATCTAACGTCGCAGGACCTTATGGTGGCGCAATGATACACCAATCGAACAGTGAGCATTAAACCACAGCATGGCCGATAGTGTGGATAGAATGAGCTTTCTCTCATGGAAGTATGGACATTACTTTTAACGAGTAATCAAACTAATTACTGTTTCCTCCGTTACAACGCCGTTACCGTTACTGACAATAAAATGTGGCATTACTATAATTGAGCTCACTGAAGTGGTTTTCATCCGAGTAGCCTCTCTCTCAGCCATAGGACCTGCAAAGTTTTTTTCTCTGGTGTGTGTGTGTTTATGAGGCGCCGGACTGGACAAAAGCGAGGCGAACGCCGCGAGCACGCTCGACAGTGAACGAGAGAGACCGAATGTGTCCGAGCATAATATAGTTTGTTTATAAATAAATTACACATTTCAGCATTAGAATAATCTCTGTAGCATATTGGTATCATCTGCAACGTTTTAATTAGTTTACATGGTTATAAAATAAAACTCCAAAATAACCTGCAGGGAATGTTCCCAGAAAACATCTTTGTTTGACCGGTTGTGAACACGTGCGGCAAACACGACTAGAATTTGGCTTAAATAACCTCTGATGATGACCTCACCTGTAGGTTATAAAAATAAAACCCAATTCGTTCATCTTCGGAACACAAATTAAGATATTTTTGATTAAATCTGAGAGCTGGATCACTCCAACGCAAAGCTTCTAGGTTGCACGTCACACGTAGGCTCACTATTGGCCGACGCTGGTCATGTGTGTGATGCGTGACGTACAACCTAGAAGCTTTGCGTAGTTTCACTACGTGAAATATCACGGCCGTACAGAGAAGGAAATGATTAGTTGAATAAAGTCGTTATTTTTGTTTGTTTTTTCCGCACAAAAAGTATTCTCGTCGCTTGATAAACTTAAGATTGAGCCACTGTAGTCACATAGACTATTTTAACGATGTCTTTCATAACTTTTGGGCCAGCCAGTTTCAATCCCTTAAGAAGCCTATGGAGGAGTGATCCAGCTCTCAGATTTAATCAAAAATATCTTAATTTGTGTTCCGAAGATGAACGAAAGTCTTACGGGGTTGGAACAACATGAGGGTGAGTAATTACTGACAGAATTTTCATTTTGGGGTGAACTAACCCTTTAATATTGGGGGTCTCCAAGTTAGTTCACATATTTAATTTTTTAAAGTAACGCAATAGTTACTTTCCCTGGTAATTAGTTACTTTTGTAATGATGTAACTCAGTTACTAACTCAGTTACTTTTTGTGAGAAGTAACTAGTAACTAGAACTAATTACTTTTTTAAAGTAACTTACCCAACACTGCTCATTGGGTAGAACAAATGCCTCACAGCAAGAAGCTGAACTAGGTGGCCTTTCTATGTGGAGTTTGCATGTTCTCCCCATGTTGGCATGGGTTTCCCCGGGTGCTCCGATGTAAAGACATGCATCATAGGTGAACTGGAGACATAAAATGGCAACTCTACATGGGACAAGTGGTTTGTTGAATGGATTGGTGAGCTTTTTTGCTCAGAAAAGAGGAGAGGGCCACCCTGACATTTCAGGGACAACGGGCATAGGATCCTCTCGCTCTACTGCCTGTGTGTGTGTGTGTGTGTGTATCTATGTGAGTGGCTTATGAGTGTGTTACTTTACTGCTGTATTGTTTTGAGTTCATGCACTAGTGAGGGTGTGTGTAAATGCGTGATTCATGGCCTACTTACATACAAAGACAAAGCTCTCTCCCTTCCACTATGTTAACTGTCTGTGACAAAATTTGTGAACTGAATGCCCACTTTCATTTTACAATTTGCCTGAATGAGCAGTTTTCTTTTAAACACAAAATGAGAAGTTAAGTAGAATGTCTGAGCTGTTCTTTTCTGTTCAAGGTATGTGAAGGGGAAATTATCCAAAAAGGACAAAAAGCATAATAAATGTTCCCAAATAATTCATGCAAGCCTTTAATTAAATTTTTGTAATGCTTTTTTTGTCCTTTTTGGTTCTTGACTGTATAAATCACCATTTACTTTCTTTGTATGTAAAAGAGCAGCTTGGATATTCTGCCTAACATCTACTTTTGTGTTTTATGGAAGAAAGAAAAAAATTCATTTAAAATCCTTAACGCGTTAAAATAATTGAATGCAAATAAATTACCGAAGCACATGAAATTGTATCCTTAACGTAATTTACATCATGCAGTTAGATGATCTTAGAAGTCGGGAGATTATCACACAGATTATCAAAATTTCTACTGTAACCCTTTAACCCGAATGTACTTCTCTGTTTGCGATCAGATCATTTTAAGACGCTACACTCATAGAAAGTTTTCAGTCAAATGATCCAGTAAACTAACTCATTCAAACAATCAATCCAAAACAGAACTAATGTAAAGAAACAACAAAAACAACAACTAAATACCGGAGACTGCAACAACAACAGACACCCACATTGACAAGCGCTTGTGTGAAGGGATTATGAGATAGCCGCAACTTCAGTTTAAAAGAATACAAAGACATTTTATCGGTCATAACTTCTGGAGAAAAATAGCGCAGATACTGGACAAAGATTAAACTTTTTAGAACGCATGTGTGGACTGCCTGCGTTGGTGCATGCAATCCAATGGAGAATATTTTAAAAGGTTATGCGTTTTAATGTACGCATACGCTAGCGTACACATAAAAAAGAAGTATACTTAACCAAGGGCTTAAGCATGCATGAGTCCGTTATATTGATGCACAAACAAACCATGTATGTGCGCTCTCAACGCACTGATCGCACATTGTATTTATGCACAGACACATTTCAGTACATTCACGTTGTTTCCACACACATTCAGGATAATGTTTTGATTTGTCATGTGAATGTTGCTGTGTTTAGTAATTCTGTATACCGTAGTAGGTATATGCAGTCACATCAAGGCAGTTGGTTTAGTTTTTTTTTTTCTTGGCATCTCCATGTGGTCCGGTTCGGTATCGCAAGTTGACTTAAATGTAAACAAATTGACCAAAATGTAAACAAGCTCTTTGCTGTTGCACTGAACACATACTATACACTGTGAATTCTGAAAAGTTTTTTCTGTAATTTTTTTTTTTTTTTCATGGGCACTTTAATTTATGAATTATATAGACTCCTTATATCATTTGGTTATTTAGTGTCTCCAAGTGTCCTTTTTTAGACACCTAAATTTACCTTGAAAAAAGCCTGCAGAAAATATTTGTTTTTTGAGAATCACCCTTAAATCTGATGGTTTACTTTGCTGGATATAGCAAATGATGACAAAATGAACATGTTAAACAAGATAAATTGTGTATGCTTAATCGCGATTAAAGTTTTGAAAGTTTTGAAAACTATTGTTGTAAGTCCAACGTTCATATCTCTGCTGTTACAGGTTATCAGTCAAAGTTTAGTCTGAAATAGGGGTGACTGTCTCCACCCAAGCCAAAGATAACAGCTTATCTAATGCGTGACTGTGCACCGGATTGTTCTGTGACTTGTGACTACATCTTTATATTTCCTTGAAATTGACACCCAAAAGCACCTACATATGCAGTCACTGTCCAATGAGCTGTGATGAAAAACAGAGGCCTTTCAGACTAATGTTTGGCCAACCGCTACATCGCTAATTGGGAGGAACATTTGGCAAATATTAGCAGAAGATTTGGCTTCTCTTGAACAGGGAATCTGCATCCCTATCCTGCACTGTTTGGCTCCTGAGATCTCATTAGAACAGTCAATAGGTCTTTGTTACTTCATTGTGTGTGTGTGTATCTGTTTCCTGCACTGCTATTTAGCGGTGGCGCTCGGCCACTACTGAATATACAGTGCTACGGCACAATAATTTTTAGCCGAGTTGTGAACATCTTTCTATTGTGTTGTCTTCCCGGCTGCATGAAAAAAAAAACACATACAAATAAACATCCAGGGTAGTCTGATTAATGAGTGAATTATTTGAGTCGGTTCTTTTAAGTAATTGGTCAAAAAGACTCGATAATCAGTTTGAATCCGTCTAATGAATCATTCACTGAATCTTTCAGAGCGACTACTGAATTAACGTCTAATTAAAGTTATGCATTCAAGTTTTTTATAATAAGTGGAAATGTTCAAATACTCAAATGTTATGCAAAACAGTTTTCCTGTATGTACACTCATTAATCATGTTATTGTGCTGGTCTCTTTCCAGCATGTGGTGAAACACTACAGGACTCAGTGGGGAATTTATCATCTCCAGGATATCCTAATGGGTACCCGTCATATACACACTGTGTATGGAGGATCTCCGTCACACCTGGGGAGAAGGTAAGACACCTCTGTGTGTTAAGTGTGTGACTTTACAAAGGTTCATTACACTGAACTGTTCCACAGTCATCTGTATCTGTGATTTTCAATCCTTTTTCCCCCCCTGTAATTGTCTTCACTATGAGGTTGTAAATATAGAACTTTGATCCAGTGTGTGAAGTTTGACGTATTTGACAGCTGCATGTGTGCTGCCCATTTCAGATAGTGTTAAACTTCACCACTATGGACCTCTACAAGAGCAGCCTGTGCTGGTACGACTACATAGAGGTTCGTGATGGATACTGGAGGAAAGCGCCATTGCTGGGTACATACATACTAGTGGACTCACCAGGAATAATCTGGAATTTATTAAGCAATCATATGAATCACCAATGGATGCTTATGAGGGAACTATTACTTGTGTGTATCTGTGCAGGTCGTTTCTGTGGTGATAAAATTCCAGAAGTTTTGGTCTCCACAGACAGTCGGATGTGGATTGAGTTCCGCAGTAGCAGCAATTGGGTTGGAAAGGGATTTGCAGCAGTCTATGAAGGTGTGTGTGTGTGTGTGTGTGTTAGGGCTGTCATAGTATCAGATTTTCACTACACGGTTATTTTGTCCTAAAGAATTTGTGATAAAAAATATTATAGCCATGTCCATAGAAAAAAAAAAATGCTTTTGTGTACTTTTCTTTTTTTGGCTAATGAATCACACTCAAAATACAAGTGTAGGCAGGCAGAGAGACATTTTGTAAGCACAACTGTACAAAATTGTACAAAAGAACTTACTGTTGATTGGCTGCAGACTTATCTTGTCTAATACATGTTCTTTTTTACAGAATCGATAAAAATCTTCTTTCTTTGTTTTCTGTTGTATAATGGGTGGAAACCAGCATTAAGGTGCAATACTGTCAACTATTAGGATGGACAGTGTCAACCAAATGGTGCTGGATTTCTTATGATATTATCATATGTGTAGTATTAATATTATATCAGTATATCATTTTTATTTATTTATCAAGGTTATCGTCAACACGGTATATTGCGTCACCCCTAGTGTGTGTGAATTATTATGAAGCAGTTTCTTGTTCATTGCAATTTAAAGTTTTAACAGTGATGTGTGCAGCATTATAGACACAAAAACAGGATTGCAAAACGAATGACTGCTTTCAAACGTATTTTCAAAATACTTCCATCGGTATCTGCCATCTTCCATTGGTCAAATCAACCTACAAATAGATCACTTGTAGCTGATTTTTTAAATATATAAATATAAAAATATTTTAATAATTCAAATGACATCAGCTTCAACTTTGTATCTTTTTAAAACTAGTATTACAAAACAATAACATAGAAAAAATAGTATAACATTAACAAATATTATTTTAAGAAATAGCATTGCAAATTGTTTAAATAAATAATATTAAAATATTATTTGAATAAATAATATTGTTTAGACAGTGAAAATGGCATAAATATTTCTGATGACAAATTAAAAATATTATTTTCCCAATCTGTTTTTGTGTCCGGTAGCAATATGCGGAGGGGAGATCAGTAAGGACTCTGGACAGATTCAGTCTCCAAACTATCCAGATGACTACCGTCCATCTAAGGAATGTGTGTGGAGGATCACAGTGTCCGAGGGCTACAGCGTGGGCTTGAGCTTTCAAGTCTTTGAGGTGAGGTTGTTGTCTCCTCTTTTTTGGCTGTTTTCTGTTCATGTATTTCCAGTCAAGTACTATTTTCACTTTAGCATTCCTCTTTCATTCTCCTCCTTTTCCTTTTCCTTTGTCTTTTCATTTTGAGAAGGAGATGAAAAGAGGAGAGACATGTGGGCTGTTTAGTTTATGCTTATGATATACACACAAATAGACATTGTCAAGGTGATTTTCCTGTAAGACTGCAGATGTGTGAGGCCAAAAGACACAGGCATGTTTGATTATTTACATTAAAATGTCAGAATGTTGTTACAAGTCATAAGTATGTATGCGCACCATTGTGTGTGTCAGTAGGTCAAAGGTGTTGAATTGTTCAGAGGAAACGAAAACACACTCTCTCCCTTTGCATACAGACATTCACACTTTCTTTTGCACGTATACAGTCTATGTATAAAGAACAGGACGTGTACAAGACCTGAGAGCCTGGCATATTATATACACAGAGACGCCTGAGATCCTGTTTTTATTGGATTGGTTTCCTAGGCACTGACACCTACTGTAAGGTGCCATATAAACTCTAATGCCATTAAAGGTGACATATTATGCCCCTTTTCACAAGATGTAATATAAATCTATGGTGTCCCCAGAATGTGTTTGTGAAATTTCAGCTCAAAATAACCCCCAGATCATTCATTATAGCTTGTCAAAGTTGAGTTGCGGCTCCCCGCCCCCATTCAGAAGACGACCGATCCTTTACACGAGCTTCGGATACAAACAATAACAAAACATGCAAATTTCACTCATCCAAAATCTCAGAAATAACCAGTAGCGGAGTGCAGCCTTACAGAGAGACTCAGAAGAGGTTGCAACTTTTAGACGCACCTGGACGTTTCTGAATGGTTAGTGTTGAAATTAAATGAATCCACTGCTCTCTTGTCTCATCTGAGGCTGGGACTCTAAATAGTATTATGTGCTCGTCTGTGCAGCCAACGACAGAACAGTTTGCATGCTTTGCTCGAACTTTTGCCATTGCGTTTGAACTGGTTACACTGTTGTCGCTTGCGAAAACAAATGGCAGTGCCGTGGGTTGAAACGTGGAGATTAAGGGCCGGTAATATTATGATAAGATCCCCTTCCTACGTCAGAAGGAGAGCGAAAACTGATCGGCTTATTTTTTGACATGCTTGCAGAGAAAGGCTTACTAAAACAAAGTTACTGGGTTGTCACTTTTCACGTTTTCTGGGTTGGTAGATGCACAGGGGACCCAATTATAGCACTTAAAAACGAAAAAAATCTGATTTTCATGATATGTCACCTTTAACACATACTGTATTGTCCCTGTGTTTGTGCAGATCGAGCGACATGACAGCTGTGCATATGACTATCTTGAGGTTAGAGACGGTTTGTCTGAGAACAGCCCTCTGATTGGTCGATTCTGCGGCTACGATAAACCTGAAGATATCCGTTCCACCTCCAACACCCTCTGGATGAAATTTGTCTCTGATGGGACTGTAAATAAAGCAGGCTTCGCTGCAAACTTCTTCAAAGGTACACACACATGTACAAAACAGTTCTATCAGAAGCTGATTTGTTGGCCCTTGTCCATTCAACTGATGTCACTCTGTGTGTGTCATTAAAACAGAGGAAGACGAGTGTCTGAAGCCAGATAATGGCGGCTGTGAACAGAGATGTGTTAACACATTAGGAAGCTTCAAATGTGCCTGTGATCCTGGATACGAACTGGCCCCTGACAAGAAGAGCTGTGAAGGTAAGAAAGTGTGTGTTTGTGTGTCCACGCACTGCACACAGGTGCTTCCGTCTGCTTGACTCAAACACGCTCAGCGGATGTTCATGCCAAACTAAACAGTTCAGGAAAACATCCGCAGTCAACAGGAAAACAACAAGAACAAACAGCAATTTGGCTACACTCAGAAACCACATGATTTCTGTCATTAAAAAAGTAGTTGCGGCAACAACTCTAAAATAACACAAAAACCATCAAAGAGCTGTACTATAGTTTATATTTAATTAAATGCTTATTAGTCTGTTTACTGCGAGAGAACTGAAAACAGAATATTTCACTTTTGTGTTTTTAAAACTTTGTTCTCACTCTTTTTCTCTTTCAGCTGCATGTGGTGGCTTGCTGACTAAGTTGAACGGCACAATCACCACCCCAGGTTGGCCTAAGGAATATCCTCCCAATAAGAACTGTGTGTGGCAAGTGGTTGCCCCCACTCAGTACCGCATATCCATGCAGTTTGAAGCCTTTGAACTTGAGGGAAATGAGGTGAGAGACTATGTGTGTGTGTGTGTGTGCGCCAGTGTGGCAGAGTGCATATTGTTTTATGTAGGTAGAAAGAAGGATGGATGTTTATCGGTGTATTATTTCTCTATTTTATATGTGCAGGTGTGTAAGTATGACTATGTTGAGGTGCGGAGCGGCTTGTCATCTGACTCAAAGCTTCATGGGAAATACTGCGGAACAGAGGTTCCAGAGGTCATCACCTCCCAGTACAACAACATGCGAATCGAGTTCAAATCAGACAACACAGTGTCCAAGAAAGGCTTCAAAGCTCATTTCTTCTCCGGTAAGACCACCATGCCAGCGCTTTTCATTTGAAATTGAGATTTGAAAGTCTTTAGCTATGTTTTGACACCTCCATCCAAGCTCGCTTGTATATATGAATTTCATAGTGTAGATTTTGAAAGCCTTTGAAAGGCCCTCTCTCTCATGCGACTGTATCGTGAGAAGTTCTGTGGGTTTGGTTAGAAACTTTCATTGTTGGAACAGACTGTACAAAAGTATTAATCCAAACACTGAAGCCTTGGCTTTAGCATAATTGTGTTTCTGACCTGTTTCGATGTTTGATTGCCACTTGAAATGTAGATGTTTTGGAGTAAGTAACATCTGGAAATGTCTGTAATCTTAGACATTTTAATGTGCGCTGACAATGTAATTTGTAAAATGAAAACTTCAAATGTGTGTGAATCAGGGCATTCTTTTCCACAGACAGGCCTGCTCACTGCAAAGAGAGACTCTTTATATTTTTGTCCTGCCAGGACGTTGATAATGATGTGCCAGATATGATTGGCCAGCAGGTCATGTCAAGGCGTGTTTCAGGTACAGCCTTCTCTCCCCTGATTGGGAATGGATTTGCCCTCATGTCTGAGGTGCCTTTAAGAATCCATTCATGTTATTGGACACTGGGCTCTGTCTCTATGGCAACAAATGTCCCAGCCTTTTGGGTCAGCAGCATTTGTTGAACACGCATGTTCATGCAATATACGCATAAGAAGGTGGTGCAACTTTTTACAAATGGTTAAATATTATTTGCAACCATTTGTACTATTAACATGATTCCGTTTGTCTGACTAGAGCTCACAAACTTATTATAAATGACAGTATTATAATCTCATAGTGCTTATATGCATTATAGACTATACAGGAGAAAATAAGATGTGAGTTTGTGTACAAATATACTTTTAATATCTGCTGATAATAGATGAATAGTCCAGTCAGCTTCATGAAACAAGAATATCAGCTGTGTTCATTTCCTCCCCCATGCAGTGAATCCCTGTTTTTATTATTATTTCATAATCTCACACCCATGAGAACTAGAAGATATGAAAGGACTCGAATTGGTTGGCAAAGTTACAAAGAGAAAGAGAGATTTTCTGATTCAAGAAGATGAACCAGATAAACAAACTAGATCCGTCTTTGTTGGGCATAGCAACATTAAAATTTAAAAAGTGTAGTTTCTTATTGTTGTCAAAGACCCCCAGTTTAATGTGTGTCCCTCCTTTTTCAAATCAACCCACTTTTTTGACATTTTAATAATTTGTTTATTATTTACATTTTATTAGGATTAATATTATATTCTATGTATAGTTAAAGGTGCTGTAAGGGATTTTATTCGTTTTGCCCTCATCCCTACTTTCAACCATACAACCTTTTCTGAAACCCAGTCAATCTAATAAACCCGAATGCATAAGAAATATACATTTTTCTGACTTGCTAGTTTTCATGTTTTTTTTTAAAAAAAAACACAGCTTATTACTTTAAGCTGAAGTATAAGCAGGGTCTGCCACTTTTTGAGTCATCTGTTTGTATTTGACTCTTCTTGGTGGATTTGTACTGTATAAATGGAATGCACAAATGAATGTTTAGGGCAAACACATGGTAAATGAGTCCCACTGTGTATGTAATGTGTGTGAGTGGGAGAGAGAATAATCTCAATTCTCAATGAGTTATAATAGCATGATTCTCATTGTCTGGAAGTCTGTGAGGTTGGATTTTTGCTGGCCCAGTGCCGGCAGACTTAGGGAGGTCCCCAGAGCTCTCCCTCACGCTCCTGATCTGTGTGAGTGTGTGCTGAGCCGAAAGAGAGCGCCGAACTGGAAACAGTGAAAGAGGGGATTCATTTCTTGTATATGCACAGGAAAGAAAGCAAGATTCTGATACGCTTGACCTGTAAAATTATTTTTTAGAGTAGGGTTGATTTTTGTGAGACACGTACAGCACACTCTTATCTCTTCCGCTGTGGAATTTTATGATTAAGTATTCATTTCATAGGAAAAATAAGAATATTTTTTCCAGAAAGGGAACTATACTCACTTCGCACAATAAAACAACAGGACATTGTTCAAGACAAAATACATGCTTGAAAACAGCATTAATTAAGAAAAATGTGTGGTGACCAACAAGGGCTTGGGTCTCTTTAGCTCTCTCTCCATCTGTTATGCATTCGGTTTGATGATTATGCTGGTGGTTTTGAGCAGTGGTTGAAGTGTGATAATTAGCTAAACTGAGACTTCCATGGAAATAACAGCTTTTGACTCATGGGACGCTGCGGCTTATAGATGCACAATGGGCGGAAAAAAACATAAGGAATCATTGACCCAAAAATGAAAAAAAAATGCACAAATTACTCATCCTCATCTCATTCCAAACCCATAAGACTTTATTAATCTTTGATACACAAATGAAGATATTTTAAATGAAATCTGAGAGATTTCTGTCCTTCCATTGACAGCTATGCAACTACCACTTTGTCGCTTTAAAATGTTCGTAAAGAGATCGTAAAAGGAATCCATCTTAATCAACCATGTCTCTTCAGAAAATTTGGACTAAACCGCTCAATTCATATGGATTCATTTTACGATCTTTTAATGGATTTTTTGAAGGGTCAAATTGGTCAGAAATCTCTCAGATTTCATTAAAAAGATCTTCATTTGTGTTCCAAAGATGAACGAAAGTCTTACGAGTTTGGAATGACATGAGGGTGAGTAATTAATGACAGAATGTTCATTTTTGGGTGAACTAACCCTTTAAGTGACACATTTAGTTTACACCTAAGATACACAGACTAAATATGCCATCAGTTTTTCTTAATCGCTTAGCACTTCCTCAACAACATACAGTATGATTCTCTCCTGTCTTCTCAGTTTTAAATGGGGCATTTGTGCACAATTATACATCAGTTTATTTGCAAGAGAGTTGTTTTTTGTGCCCACTTAACTAAAGGAGTGTTTGTGCTAGAAAAATGCCAGTGGCTTAATTTAAATATGGTGCTGCCTTGTTTCAGTGCATTTAGCATGTGGTTAAATTGATTTTGGGTGGTTAGCGAATAAGATGCCGATTTCTGTATTGAAATATCACAGATAAAAGTGACATTACTGTGAATTTACCCATTATTTGGTCTTCTCCCTGTTATTTTTAAGATTTTCTTCCATCTCTTTTGGTTATTTAACTAATATAGACACTTATTTATTATTCATCACTCAATGCAATTACTCTTTACAGAAAAATCTAAATCCTGATGTTAAAATTTATTACACTGAAGAGTTATATTTCTCTCAACAATCCCAGGCCATCATCTCTCATGCAGATTTCAAAATGTCTCAAAGGATATAAAAATAAGATGAGAAATCAAAAGCATCTGGTTGGATCTCACTGTTCGTCACTCTTATTTTTCTGTTACAGATAAAGATGAATGTTCAAAGGATAACGGTGGATGCCAGCATGAGTGTATCAACACTATTGGCAGCTATGTGTGCCAGTGCCGCAACGGCTTTATTCTGCATGAGAACAAACACGACTGCAAGGAAGGTATGTACAGGCACTCGCAAAAGAATAATAGTGGCTAGAAGAGGATAAGTGAGGGTAGTCATCTGGCAGTGGCACATCTAGCATGTGTAAGCATGTTGGTTTATACTACATTCTGCTGAAGACGAGCAAAAACCCACAAACAAGAAAAAAAACCCTCTGCATTTAAGATGCAGAGTAAGAGACCGTTCGGTATTCATGGAATGGACCACCGGAGGAAAATAGGGGAGGGTCATGTCTTTTTATTCTTTGTTGGGGGGAGGGTCATCCAACTTTTTTTAGTCTAGGGGTAGGGTCACCCAACTTTTGTATTCATGAAAACAGCAACATTTCAAAGTGGCTTGTTTGGTGCATATTTTTCCATGTAGCTCTCTCAGTCTCGGCCCCCCATCGCTAGCAGATGGGTCTGACCCAACAAAAATCAGACGCGAAAGATAAAGTCCAGTTTGGCGCTATTTGACAATGCGCGCGCGCTTCGGGCGTACCGTACGCACTCAGAAAAGTGCATCATGTCAGAACAGAATGCCAATGAAATGTTTACCCGACAAAGCTTTAAAGCATGAGCAAATAATTAACTTTTGTGATTGCGAATAAGTGCAGTGTCCTGTGAGTGTAACTCTACCGCTGAATTAACATGTGATGTGAATGTACGTCGAGTTTTACAGTATTGGGACTTAAGCCTTGTTTATACTTTCGCCTGGCTCCGCAGCGCGAGCCTCCGCTGCCTGTACGCGCACCTCCCCAAACGGACGAGGCGTTTATACTTGACGCGCTCGCCGTTGTACTATTCTTTGAAACGACAGGCGGCGACTGAGTAATTGCCCTCTAAACCACCAGGAATCAGCGGTGAGAAGAAGAAAGGTACACAGGGGAATGTTTATTTTAGTACACTTCACAAAAACCACACTACAAAAGAATCGTGTAAAGCAGTAAACCTTGAGATTGTTAGCAGTAAACCTTGAGATTGAGATTATTACTATTAGATTATTAGAAAAAAAAGAAAAGAATTTGAGAACATAGCCTATACAACTAAAGTAACAATAACTTGCATATTTTCTAATTTCACTAAACATTTTCATTTAGTTTCGAGAATTTTTTTTATAAAACATGGAACATAATTAAAAAGGGCTTTTGTCTGTTATTGTAGGCTCATTTTGTAAATTTAAGCAACTACTCTGGGTGCCGGTGTGATGAGACGTATATGCTCGGCCAGGGGCGGACTGGCCATCTGTGTGATCTGGAGAATCACAGAACGGCCGGTACTCCAGGACGGCCGGCGGGCCGGCCCACCAGCCGCCACACACATCCCAAGTCTCCCGCATATTGATAGCGGCTCCCTGATGTCCGCAAATTAGTTAAAATCTCCCGGAATCTAGAGCGAGCAAGAGCGCGCATGCGTAGCGCGTGCACGGCAGAGAGAGAGGGAGCGAGAGATTGCGTGTGTGCGCGTGTGTGCTAGTGTGCGCGTGTCCCTCAGGAAGCGCATGTAAGGACCCAACCAATCAATTGTCAGTGCGGGCGGGCTTTTATCTCTACTACTCCCGAACCGAATTAATCAGAAATTACTTTGCAAGTTACTTGCTAGGGATGATGTTAGGAAGTGATATTCAGCTTGCTACATTTTTAATGATTACAGTAGTTAAAACAGCTAAACTTCAACATTTTAGCTGTAAAATGCCACATGCAGTTGCTAATATTAAGAAATATGTTGTGCTTTTACTTTTAAAAATGTTGGTAATGTTACAGTTAATGCTTACAAACTTTGAAGATTTTGAATACAGAAGTTACATTTGTAATGGTGTATTTTCATTTAGATGTGGTATTATTATTTGCGCAGTAGCTAAGATTAATTACTGCATAAACTAATTAAGATTATTAAGTAATAAATTCATTTTAAGACAGAATGGAATAGATTGTATAATATGCTGTTAGCTATAATTTGGATGGTATAGTATCATGTGCCACAGTTAAAGTGACACTCATGGCAGGCGTTATTGTTGTTGTTGTCGAGTTTCCGCGCACCGATTGCTTTGGGCCGGGCCTAGTCAAAGTCCAGGGCCGTTTTTTAGTCCCAGTCCGTCCCTGTGCTCGGCCAGATTCGGCTCGAAGTCGTGCATCTTCAGAAGCGGAGCCACGCGCGCAGTTACAAAATCTGCAGTGCACACCGCCAAGCGAAATGGGCCCTTGCGCACCTTCACGCTCGTGCGGACGCGGCGAGTATAAACCAAGCTTGAGGCGCCAGAACTGCAGCTGATAGAATGTGTGCTGTAGCGCGATACTAGCATATTTCTTCAAAAGCAGATCGTGGAGACATTAAATCATCCACGATCAAAAATCGTGATATCGCATAAGCAGAAGTCTATAAAACGACTGTTATCATGTCTGAAAACAAACACAAGTAACGGAGTTTACAAAACTGTATCACACGTGTGCTACAGTGGTACATTTATTCATCGCACAGACCAATCTTTTCGTAGATATATGTCGCACTGTCCAGCCCTGTACAGGACCCTTTTTAATGAACGACCTTCAATCTGACCTTTGTCACGGGTGGTTGCAGGAAGACAGAAGAAGATGAAGGTATCTTTTCCAACACTGAGGTTTAATGAGTGTAATATACAGGACAGCAGAACAGGCAGCAACACTCACTAAATACAACGGAGATCAGACAAAGACTGACTGAACAGACAGAACTTAAATGCAAACACAGATGACACTGATTAACGGAACACAGGTGATACAGATGACGATGATTGACTAAACACGGGTGATACAGCTGAACTGATAATGACAGTGAAGATGACACGTGACGTGAATACAAGCAGACAAGTCCAAATGAAAACAAACTAACCCAAACACCACTGTGACAAACTTAAAGCTGCATTCCGTTACTTTTTTGGGTTAAAAATGATCCAAAATAAATTTTGAGCAAACTATTTGCTTGCCTTAGCTCGATTCAAAACGGTAAGCTTGTAATAATGTTTTTAAATCCAGTGGTACTGGTGGATTTCCGGGGGAAATTCGAGCATGTGTTTGCGTCATTACGTCACATCTGTACACATAAAGAAGGAGTCTCGGCTAGTAGGCTATATTGTGTATGAGGATGTTGGAGGTGGAGATTTATAGCCTTTTCTCACAGCACTTGATATCATTAAACTTATCAATTTGATGGCGGATCCAGAAAGGTTCAAACAACAATCACCAGTGACAACTGGAGATTCACCCGTTGTAAAATGCAAAAGACTTCAGACTTCGGAGTGGCTACAGAAAAAAAGAGACTGCAACCGGGCCCATGCGAAAACAAGGATAAATATCGGAAGGGCATTAAATGGAGTCACGCAATACTGATGTTGTTAACAACATTAATAATTTGGGAACAAAGTATAATTTGCACGGTTTGACGTGATATGATAAGCGATCGTTAGATTTAATCAGCGCGATTTACTGCAATGCTTTTTCTCCCTTAGTTGGTCAGAACAAAAGTGGATGTTACTTGCTTGTTCAGATTAGATTTTCCGGTGAAAATTCTTATGTTGGTCATACTTCCAAAAAGTAGAATCTGTGATTCCGAATGACAGTATCCACACCGGTGCGGTGACTGACAGCCACACATTCTCCTCAAAACATTGGATTCATCCGCGCAGTGCCGTGCCGAGGCACAACCCGCGTAAAGTTGATAATTCCGCAAATAACTGCAATTGCAGATTTCGAACAGAGATGGCAACAAAGAGGAAAACAGACTGCAGCTTTAACAGTTGTAGCACATTTCAACATTGATTCTTTGCAGGCTTTTAAGTAACTTTGTTATGAAGGATGGGGCAGTTATTGTATAAATAAAAACTACACTGAAGCCGATACACTGGAGTACACAACAAAGCATGGATGATCATTTTTACATGCGAAGAGGCCAGGTCTTAAAGGCATAGAAGCAAACTACCCTGTTTATACAGTGAGAGTAAGGTCAGGTAAAATGATGACAGACAAAACTTTTGTAATAAAAATAAAATAACAAATGTGCTATCAATAATTAGAGCTGCATTATAAATACAATAAATGAGGTGACTGAACTTAAAGCATTAAAGTAAACTTTGAAACAGTTGTCCTCCAGATCTTCAACACATGTTGAAGCATTTAGATGGTCTGTTATAGTCAAACAGTGTCTCCCACTAAACCTCGCCTTTCATACAAGCACTGTCAACCTCCAGTGCAGCTCTGCCCTGCAGGCCTTTTAACATTTTTGTGGGCTTTGGAAAGTTTAAAGCAGTGTGTGTGTTTCTCTTTGAAAAGAAAAACAGTTCGACCTGAGGAGAGGAGGATAGAGATATTACCCTTTAAGCTCCAGAGTCAGGGTCAAGAAGTTAAACCAGCGGCATCCTGGAATACACACACAGACACACACACACACACACACACACACACACACACACACACACACACACACACACACACACACACACACACACACACACACTCTCAGTCTTTATAGTCTCTTCAAGGCTAGATCACTGACTCTAATTTTAAACATCTGGAGTTTCACAAAGCTTCAAAGTCATAATCCTGCTTCTGTTTTCATTTTCCTTTGTGCATGTGCATGTATGTGTGTAAGATGTGTATCTATTTAAAAGTCTATCAGTATTCAGTAGCAACACTAGACCAGCTTTACTAGTTGCTTATACAAGTATTACTTGTGTATTACTATTTACACAAGAATATCATCATAACAAAGTCAAGAGGGCTGTCTGGTATATTGTGCCTTTAATTATGGTACTGTAAAATTAATTATTTTGTCATGTGTAGAGAGAGAGCAAAACGTAGATAGCCTATGGAATAATATAACACACTTATAAAGTTTGACCTAGAAACACACTCAAACTCCTTTCAAGTCACCTTATGTATACACATTCAAACCGATGCACAAACCAACAGTGTGTGTGTGTGTGTGTGTGTGTGTGTGTGTGTGTGTGTGTGTGTGTGTGTGTGTGTGTGCATGTGTGAGTGTGACCACCAGAGGCAAAATACTGAAAATACCTTTGTTAACTAATGCACACTGACCTGATTATCAGAGGGAATAATAGAGGCTTATCCAGACTTAGTGCTCGTGTGTGTGTGTGTGTGTGTGTGTGTGTCTGTGTGTGTGTGTGTCTGTGTGTCTTTGTGTGTGTGTGTAGTGTGATAGTGGCAATACTGTAGATGATACAGTGGTCCAAAAGTCTAATGCCACATTAGATTAGAAAAATAAAAAATAACAGTTATGATATAAAGTGAAGAAGAATCAATTAGAGTTCAGAACATCTTCAAATAAGCATATTTGTGTGACTGACCATGTGAACGCCTTTGTACAAAAGGTTAAATTGTCCGCTAGAACATTCTCAAATCATGCCTGATAAGATGATCATCAGATTTTACACACATTTGTAAAGTTCATGCAGCTCAAGTGATTCTGTCACTGAAGCAGAGGGGAGACATAAGGCAAGGCAAGTTCATTTATATAGTAATATTTCATACACAAAGTGCTTTACATAAAAATATTAATGAAAAATGGTGATAAAAAAGGTTAAAGAAACAAAACACAGAAAAGAATAAATAAATTAAAAGAACAGTATACATTAAACTAAATATGAGTCAAAAAAGACAAAAGGCTTAAAATAAATAGTAAAATGCGATCAGCATAGAGCTGAAACTGCTCAATCATATATACTCATGCACATTCATCAATTCAACTTTTCACAATCTACATAATGTGTCATGTAAAATAAAATAATTTTCACTATTGGTCTCAAAATTTCGGCCCCTACTCTTATTTGAATACAGAGAAAGCCACAGCAGGTCGGATTGTTCTCATTCATTCATACAGTATTGGATAACACCCACTCCAAAACACATATACACACTCTGCAGGGTTTTGGTGAAAATGTTTTTCTGACCTGGTTTCTCAGGGTCACAGCAGGTTAACTGAAGGCGTGGATCTAGCCGTAATCAATTGACCTTGTCCTTGTGCACACACATAAGCACACTCACAGACACGTATTGCCAAAAATTCCAAAGGAATATTTTGAATATTTTCTAGTGAGGATGATCGAGGATAGGTTAAAGAAGACTAGTCTCCTGTAAGAGAGATTTACTCATGCTCATTAGAAAGGTGAGTCTCAGGTGAACCTATGAGCCCAGGTAAACATACTAAAGGTTAAGCATTCTGGAATAGTCTTTCTGGGATGTGCACACCTCACAACCAGGGCAAAGTTTAAAGTTTGAGTTGCTACTCTTCATTTGGAGAAAAGTGATGTCAAAGATCTCTCCAAAAGCAAGTGAAGTCACATAAATGAGAATTGTATTGCTTTTTGTTAACTGTTATGTGACATAACAGTGTTTTGTCAACCCTTGTTAACTTTTATAACATCATAAATGTAGCAGTTTTTTATATTTAAAAATGCTATTGCCATTTATAACTATACTTTGTGTTATATTTGCATTAAATAAATAAATAAAAATTGTTAATGCTGCTTTGTGGGTGTTTGGGAGTGACAGAAAATTTGACATCTTTCTTTCTTCTGACCATTATATTTTTTTCCTCTTTTGGAAAGTCATAGAAATACTATCATGGATATTTCATGTGCTGTTGGAGCCAAAGAGAATGCTAAATATATTTCTTGTAGTTTCCATTCACCAATATAGAAGTTTACCCAGGTATGAGAACCCCGGAAATGTGAAAAGGGTATGGCTGCTGCTAAAAGATTATGGGTTTTGACACTAAAATGATGTAGCAAAATGCTTCAAAGATAGGTTTATTTAAATCAGAATTCACAGAATTCCAAAGATTTTCCCTCAAAATTCTGCCTGGGAGTACTCATGGATCATTGTTATCTAAACTTTATTACTCACATGTTATTATTGTGCTGCATCACAGTTTCTAATGATCTTTACCCTCTTCACCCCATACCTGTTTATCAGCTGAGTGTGAGCACAAGATCCACAGCACGAGTGGAACCATCAGCAGTCCCAACTGGCCTGACAAGTACCCCAGCAGAAAAGAGTGCACGTGGGACATCACCTCCACACCCGGCCACCGGGTCAAAATTGTGAGTTTTTATAATACATCTGTAATATAATACTATATGTTTGCTTCTGTTAAACACACCTTTACATTATAAACAAACATCTCCTCAACCTTTACACTCAGAAAACAAGCACACAGATATCATTGACCTGAGCAGAGACACAAACATATATGTAATCCCATTGTGGTCCTCTCACGTTTAAAGACAATCTCACATCACACACATTCCCACTCACACATGCTCATTAAAATGCACACATGTATAATCTCCTCTTAAACAAACACGTGGCCATGCAAATACCTCTCTGCCCCAACACGTAGACATAAACACACTCTCACAAACAAGCACAAGAAAAAAAAGTAACCCAAGATATCTAATAATTCAAGATATCTAATAATTAGATATCTAATAATTCATAATTCATTCATAGGCTTGAGCAGTTGTGTCCTCTTGCTCATATTTCAATTCAGTTAGGATTTTAACATACTAGTGTGTGAAAGCAAATATGTTAGCAGACCGCTATGGCAGGGGTTTAAAGGATGACCTCAGTGTCTCCCACTGCTGTCTGGATCGGACTTCTAAGTCTTTCGTTTAGACCTAAACTGATTCTAAATGGCCCTAATCTCTCAGAACACAAGTGAAGTCACAAAAAGGAGGAGGTACAAGTGTTTTTGGGGATTGATCGTTTTAGGGTCCATTAGAATTAATATATCATTTCGACATTAACGTTTGAAGTTCTCAAAATAAATTTGTAGAGTAACTTTATCGCCACGGCTTTGCTTTCATTGCTGTCTCTGTGTGTAGCGGCAACAGCTGGCTTTTTACGTAATGCTAATGTGAGCACAAAAGGTACAATGATTTTAAAACATGTAATTCAATCTCATGCAATGGTTCAGGGATTTGCGGATGGTTCAACATACATAACCCAGTTTTAAGTTTTTTTAAGGCAGGCCACTCAGTGGCCATCTAGGCAACACCCTCAAGCAGCAATTTTCCATGTAGCCCGACAAAGAACCTACACTTACAGAAAGCTCTGCAGATGTAGAATCGAAACACCCATCATTCATATATCCACCCCTTGTATATTTGTTTATTAAATATTTTGCTGAAAGAAGTATCTTATGGTCACTAAGGCTGCATTTATTTGATTACAATTACAGTAAAACATTAATAGTTTGAAACATTTTAAAACAAAATTTATTCATGTGATGTCAAAGCCGAATTTCCAGTGTCACACGATCCTTCAGAAATCATTCTAATAATCTCAAAAAACATTTATCAATGTAAAAAGTTGTGCTGCTTAGTGAAGAAATTTTCAGGATTCTTTAATGACTTGAAAAATGAAAAGCATTTATTTGAAATATAAATATTTGTAACAATGTAAATGTCATCTTTACTGTCAATTTTGACCAATTTATTGCATCTTTGCTGAATTGAAGTATTCATTTTACAATACTTTTGTACAGTATTGTATCATATCAGTAAAGTTTTTGTTTCAGTAACAGTTACAGTCTGACTGCAATTAAAGTATTGTTTAACATTTATTCTGTTTATTCAAATTTAGCATCTTTAGCTCAAATCACACTAAAAATATATTTTTTAGGATGGTCCTGCTAATGTGCATGACCAATAAAAAAAAAAAAAAAAGAAGGCAATTGTGTCTTTTAACTGAAAGTTGAGATTTCCATTCCTATAACCACCACATAGAGTGGTGCAGGGATGACGTCAGAGGACTAATTCGCCGCTGGTTCCCTCAAGATTTTTCTATTGGGTTTTATAATGGGGGTTTTCAATGAGTAAAATTATGTCAAACAAAATTGACGTTTTGTTCTACAGCGTAAACTGCACACACTCACACCCCAAACTGTCTTCTCTAGTTACTTATTTTAAATGTACGTTTTCAAAAATGAACATAACTGCTAAAAAAATCATGTTTTTGGTATGGGTGTGTGCAATTTACGTTGTAGAACAAAACGAAGTATCGTCAAGTTATGTTTACCCTAGGCTTTTTTTTACTCATAAATTGAAAAACCTTTCAACAGCAGGTCCCATAGGAAAATCTCAAGGGAACAAGGGGGTGAGGTTTAGATGTCATCCCCGCACCCCTCTATAAACAATTGGGTTGTCACAGCCCAAAATTTGTATCTGCTTCTTTAATATGCCAAATGTGTTCAACTTTTAGCTGAGGAGGTTAAAGAAAAGAAACCTTTTATTACTGTTGTTCGGCTAGAATTATTATGTCTGACTTCATTTTTCCTGTGTTGTCTCCTTCTGTTTCTAGTCTTTTAATGAGTTTGAGATTGAGCAGCACCAGGAATGCGCGTATGATCACCTGGAGGCCTTTGACGGTGACTCGGACAAGACGCCCATCCTGAGCCGTCTGTGCGGCAGTAAGATTCCAGAACCGCTCATCTCCACAGGCAACAAGATGTACCTGCGATTCATCTCTGACGCCTCAGTGCAGAGGAAAGGCTTTCAGGCCACTCACTCCTCTGGTAACTACCATTGGTTATTTGCATGTCTAGCACTTGGATCAGATGTGATTCAAGTGTTCATAGAAGCAATTCTCATTTCATGCTTACAGTTTAACAGAGCCCTCTAGTGTATCAATCCTTCATTACATGTTGATTAGAATCCCTGAAGTGTTGCCTTTTATCATTTGACTTGCCGCTAAGCTCCTACTGTTGCTTATTACAGTCAACAGAAAAGAGAAAAGACACTTGTTAGCTATTACAGCCTACAACATTATGACATTAGTATAATAACATTAGTGGAAGTGAACAGAACCATTTCTGATGGGGTGAAGAATTTTAAGTAAATCAATGATGATCATTATTAACAGTATATATGTGTGTGTTTGTGTGTAGAGTGTGGTGGGAGGCTGAAAGCAGAGGTGCGTCAGAAGAACCTGTATTCTCATGCTCAGTTTGGGGATAATAACTACCCCGGCCACACCGACTGCGAGTGGCTCATAACGGCAGAGTCGGGTTATGGCATCGAGCTTACTTTCACCACCTTTGAGGTAGAGGAGGAGGCCGATTGTGGGTATGACTACATCGAACTTTACGATGGCTACGACACCGGAGCGCACAAACTGGGACGCTTTTGTGGATCAGGGGTACGAGCTGTGTGTGCTATGAGCTTAATATATTCTTATGTTATACAGCTTGTTGTATTTCTTCTACTGACCCCTCTCTCCTGTGTTTAGCCTCGTGAGGAGCTTTACTCTGCTGGCGATGCCATGATGATCCATTTCCACTCTGATGACACGATCAGTAAGAAAGGCTTCCACATCCACTACACTAGTACAAAGTTCCAGGAGGCGCTACACACACGCAAGTAACGTCTCCCCTAGAGGTGAGAGAGACTCCAGAGAGACTGAGCACAGGGATGAAATGCTACAACAAGGAGAAACGGACTCCAGAAAACTATTGAGATTGATTTATGTCAATCAAAGACCCTGCCGAGATGGGTTTCCTGCATTGGATTTGCCTCTTTATGTTCAGCCACTGTGGAAGTGCTGTCATATTGACCTTTGACACTGATCAGCTGCTCTTATGTGTGGGATAGCACTGCCCACTGGAGTGCTGTCCTGCGCTCTTTGACTGGACCCCTGGACAAACACACACTCACACACAAAAACTTTTTGTTGGCTCTCTGTTGTTCAGATAAGACAGTGATAGTCATGTAAAATAACTGAAACGAAGAGACAATGACAATAAGACATATAAGTAACTGCTATTGAACTTGAGTGTGTGTGTGTGTGTGCATGTCGCTCTGGACAGCATGGACAGTTTGGCTGCTAATGCCACACCACACTGTACCTCAGCTAAAATGTGTGTGTGTTTGTGTGTGTGTGTGTGTGTGTGTGTGTGTGCGTGCGCGCGCGCGTGTGGATGTATGTGTTTGAGAGAGAGTGAGGCCTTCAAATACCAGCCTGAACTCATTCAAATGTTTTTACAATTATGTGGTTGTAATTTTACAATTATTCTGTTAGCTTTATGGCAAAGCCCATTTTCTTTCCATCAAAAGTGCAAAAGTAAATATGTAGCCCTATTCAACAATAAGCTTACTTAAATACAGTATATGTAGCCCATTGCTTATGTCTGCTGTGACGGACATAGCAATTCAACGCAAGCGTTTATGACTACAAAGACGTTTTAAGACAGTGGGTCTCATTCACTAAGCTTGCGCACACACGAGTTTGTGTATGAAATCTGCGAGCAAAAACTTTATTTATACTACAATTTCTTCTAAATTTATGGGGGGAGAAATTAGGATCAACTTAAACCACACATAAACAAAAATCACATGCTCTGGATGGCCTTATACTGTAATTGTGTTAAGATTACATTTTATTCATAGACATCTCATCTATTTCATCATACAGTGAAAAGCTGCATTATATATAGTTTGGGCTGCAAGGTTTCCCTGTATAACAACACAGATATGCGTGTCTTAAAGGTGTTTATTGTGTTTGAACTGGTTTTGATCGGAACGCCTTTATATGGAGTTTTGGCGTGTTTTATGCAAACGATTAACCTTGGCCTGCCGCTCATTTAGAATATTCCAAATTCATTAACATTACAATGAGGTTGTGTACGCATGAGTGTGCACGTTGTGAATTAGGCATTCATTTTTCATGAGAAGTTCTCTTGTGCGTACAAATTCAAAATAATCCACACAATTTGTTAGTGAATGAGACCCAGTTGTGCTTCATTCGTGATCAGGCCCACAAGGAATCTGCATGCATTGACATTTACAAAGATCCCCCACACCTTGTGTGTTCATTTATTAAATACTATTTCTATTCTGAAGAATTTTATAGATTTTTTTCTTAAAATGTTAAAAAATAAATTGCAGATTTCATTTGGGCCTTCTCATGAATTGCAGAAACCATGTGAAGTTGTTTGAGTTTGAATTGTTTTTGTGTGTGTGAGAGAGAAAACTGATAGGATATATAATTCTATTATTTGCCTGTTGAAGAAACCAGTGGTTTTCTCACTCTTCTAGTAACGCCTCCTGAAGAAGTGAACAGTGAACATAATGTGAACAGGAAACAATGTTATAAAGCCTTGCATAATTTGTCTGTTACAACTGTGACAACTGGCTACAACCACCTTCACCCTGTGCGCTTTATATGCACTTAACGCAAGAGACTGTACGGAACTGTGTCCTCTCCAATTGTGGAAATGAACCCATGAGCAGGACCAATGAAGCTGAAAAACTCAAGTAATCTCAATGAAAACTAGACTCGTCATCGCAAGGGAACGTTCTCAGTTGCTATACCCCCAATGATGAGTTTTCCCTGCTTGGAAAAAAAAAAATCGCTGTTGAAGGGAATTCTTAAGGTGCTATTCAGTGTCTCAAAAAACGACAGGTCCCATGAGGCAATGCTCCTGCCATTCAGTGAATGTGTTGGTGCAACGGAGAGGCAACGTTAAAACAATGTTGCTTATCAAGACAGAACATTAACTCACAGCATTGACAGCACTAGTGTTGTGGAGGAACGATTATTGCCTTAGAACCAAAATGTACATTCTTGCACATGATGATGTTTCTGTAGATAATTGTTTTTTTCCCCTCAAATTATTATAATATTTTATTTGATATTAAGATTAAAGAACTTGAACCTTTATGTTAAAAAAAGAAACTTAAATGGACTGACCTGAAAAGATCCCATTCTGTCCAGTTACACAAACACGTGCACACATATGTGCATATATGCTTATATATGATCATGTGCAAACACACACACACACAAAATAATGTTACATTAATCTTAATGCTTTTAAGTCAGCAGTAAGACTGTGTGAACTGTGACATATGTATGTGTGCATCTATTGGTCACAGGTCATGTGACTGTTCTGACTGTGTGAGTATTTCTGTATGTGCCAAGCTCCTGTTGATTCCACTCTTGATGAACTATGACGTATGATAATGTGAAAAAATGTTTCATCATCAGCCTAATGATGGAGGACTCTTCACTCTCAACAGTGATTAAACTCATGTCAGGTCAATTAAATGTGCTGTCTCATTTGTTCTTAATCTCTCCTCCTCTCTACTTGTACATTAGACACAGTGTGTTCTTTGCTCTGTTCTTGTGTGGGTGCTTACGTGGATAACAAATATGTTTTTTTTTTTTTCAAAGGCTGATGGATAATATAGTATAATGTTTGTATGTAGACAGAAAAGTCAAAACTCTCTTATATTTGAGCTTCCTTACAGTAGTTCTGAACATTGTCTCAACTTACAATAAGTAGAAGGAAAGAGTCCTAAAGCTTGAAAAGAATTTATCATTTTTAGCACTTCCAGTTCCATCATCTTAAGTCCAGAGATGGGTATTATGAAAATCAATTTAAAATCAAAAATTAAATACCTCAATTTAAATGTATCAAAATAAAATGCCAAATACTGCGTGGAAATGTTTTTTTTTTTTAATACAAATACAGTATTTTGTATTTTTAAAATAGACATGTGAAACTGGCCATTCAGTGAAGTATCTCTTTCGGGCTGAAATCTATCTGGCATATTGAATTTTTAATAACTCTTTTTATTACTAATAATTTGTACATGTATCTTTATTACTCTAACGTGTCAATAACTTAAAAGCCCACTAAAAGCTGCACAGATATATTTGCATTCCGCAATATAGAAATGATATAGAAAAAGTTAAATCGATTCACTTTATATCATCACCCAACTGTTTAGCGCTAATGTTGAGTGTAAGTGCTCATGATATTCTTTACCCTTGCCAGTGTTATTTTATTCCTTCATGTTAACTGAAGGAAAAACTGAATGTTGTCCTATTTTAATCTTAATTCAAAAGGATAATTGACCATGACATCATATTCCTTATTTCCTTGCAGGAATGCAGAAAAATCACTGCAAGGAAAACGTGCAAGAAAGTTGGGGTTGTGGGGAATGCCTGAACTAGTTGATACAGGATATCAGCAGTTCAACCGGTTGTGAAGCATATATGGCAAACACGAAAAGAACTTGGCTAAAATAATGACGATGACGTCATCGGAATGTGAGCATGAGTTAGAATTGTAAGGAAGGAATCCATATAACAACAACTTATTCATTTGCTTTGGCCGCCAAAGCAAATGTGTGTCCCGCCAAAGCCTTTTTTGATCGGCGAGTGATGTAGAATGAATTGACTGCTGCGCTTGACAGAGCGCATAATGAGCAGAGAGAGAGAGAGAGAGAGAGAGAGAGAGAGAGAGAGAGAGAGAGAGAGAGAGAGAGAGAGAGAGAGAGAGAGAGAGAGAGAGAGAGAGAGAGAGAGAGAGAGAGAGAGAGAGAGAGAGAGAGAGAGAGAGAGAGAGAGAGAGAGAGAGAGAGAGAGAGAGAGAGAGAGAGCGAGCACCCCGGCCGCGCGCGCGCACTCTCACGTCTTCAAACAAAACGAGCGCTGTCTTGCTCTCTCTCCCTCGCGCATATTAATCAAAATCAATTGACAGTTTGACACGATAGTAAAAGGTCGGAAGACCGCAGTTTCACGTGGAGCATTTGGAGATTTTTAGAGATTAGAGACTCTAGGCTTACTTAGACTCAATGAACATCTTAACACTAAATTATAAAGGCCGGTCTAATATAGACGCCTGTCTCAAATACAAGCCGGTGCAGTTCGACGATTTGGGAAAATAAAAGCCCGGGCTATTATTTGAAGTTTTACGGTATATATATACATTTGACTCCTTGGTCGGCTGTTTGGGGGCAAGGCAGTTGGTACTGATGCTAATATTTGTTAGCTCGCTGTAGACTGCAGTGTTGTTGTTGCAACATGCGCTGTCTTGACGTGATGACGTACCGCACCGTTCCCCGGATATAAAGATGGTGCTGCCAGCCTGCCACCATAGACTGTAGCTGTGTCCCAATGTGAAGGCTGCGTCCTCCGAAGGCCGCATTTGAAGGCCGATTGCGTAACAGCGGCGTGACGAGGGCTGTCCCAATTCAAAGGCTGCATCTTCGAAGGACGCATTTGAAGGCCGATTGCGTCACCGCGGCGCGATGAAGGCTGTCCCAATTCAATTCCGCATCCTTCGAAGGCCGTATAAGAAGGCCGGTTGCGTCATCACGGCGCGTGACGAAGGCTACCCTGATTCAAAAGCGACGCCAAATGCACCCTTCGTTTCCCGTGAAAGGAAGTATTCATAAATGGACACTTAGCGGCCTATCCTACCTTGATCCTACCCCATAATTCATTGCGCGCCAGTGACGACAGCATTTTTGGTGCAGGATTTGGTGTGTAGCCTACAGTTCAAATTCAAATGTTGGTGTTGAACTATGCCTTTTAAAACCGTTCATTTTTCATTTACGGGTTAAAAAAATTAAAAACGAATGGATGCAAATTTACACAGACTATTAAACTAAAGATAGTTTAGAGTGATAGTTTTTTAGATTAAAGTCTTTGATTTTACTAGTATTTTAATTGACTATCAAACCTTTCTACAAAAACATTATTTTAAATATTTAATAATATAAGGTAGCCTACTTTTGCGTCCATTTGTTTTTCTTTTTTTTAACCCGTAATTGAAAAACTAAAAATGAAAGGTTGTTGTATTTTTAAAAGCCAAAGTTGAACACCAAAATTTGAACTGTAGTAGGCTACACAAATGCTGCAAAAAAAATTTAAACATTAAACATTTTTATTATTATTTAATCTTTTTTATTATTATTTATCATTATTAAACATTTAAAATATTCACAAATTACTATGGGACAAATGTCGATTTTACTGGTTTTCTAAGGCCAGATTAGAACCTGGAAATTATATTTTTCCCGCAATGCTGAATGAGAAGAGCCATGTCTCTGGAACCATGATTTATAGGCTAATGATAATAAATGTGTCTGCATAAATAACGAGGCATTTTAATTGTTCGTTTAAAAGTGAACATTTCAAGCTTTAGGCAAGGTATATTTTGTTTCAGTTCATTTATGAGACGCGCTCCAGTTCACGGAGATCATGAAAGCGCGACTGATTGTTTTATTTTATTTTACAAAAGCACAACGTTTTCTTGTTATGTGAGTTTGGACAAATAAAAGTAGTTGCGAATGATGTATTATTCTTTTCTGTATGACCAGAAATTATAGAGTATTTTTTAAGTTGTTTCCACTGTTGATGGGAAAATGCAAGTGTTCGCGGCCGCGCCTCCGTGCCATGCAGTGCGCGCTCACACTCCCACACACATTTGCGTCAAAATCTTGTGTTTATTTGTGATAATCTTAG